TATTCTGCGATATTAATTTTGTTAAATTTCTTTGAAGCTCATGAACTTTTAGAATTTACAAATTACAGAAAACTCTTGTGAATGGTAAAATTACGCGTAAATTTAAACACAAATCCCAATAATAAAACTTCCAGAATAGTAAGCCTGTTCACACATCTCCTCGTAATCATAACATAAGCGGAGGGATACACCTAAAGTATTCTAAATTTCTTCCGGTTGCTATTGTTTACATTCAGTCAACCGTCCATATATAGCTTGTCTAACATGAGAACTCCCCCAGCCATTCGACTATGGTAATAAGGTATAACTATTTCAAGTATAAGGTCACTTCAAGTATAAGGTCAAGTGTAAGGTCACTGTTTAGGACTTGTTTTGGCTCTGGTCGGCGAGAGAAAGGGAATATTCGATCTATTGTGTTAGTCCTAGAATGAAGAGAAGCTACACTCCCTAAAAAACGCGGTTCTTGTTTCTAAAGCAGCAGACAACCTCAAACTTTGCGTCGGAGGGAGTTTTTATCGTAGACAAACTATAAGAAACCATTAAGATGTTAGGAATTAAGAATTAAAAGTAGCATCCCATATAAATATAAGTGATGTTGACCCGGACAAACCACTGCAAAAATATAATTCTGGTGGGGGGAGTACTGTAGTGTATCTCCCACTTCGATATGAACACGACTAACTTGACAGTAACGCCCACTTCGATCTGAACACACCTACCTCGATGGATGGTCCACATTAAACAGTTGACTGCAACATCATCCACCTCCACACGGTGTCGCTACTCAGTCTCGATCACACACAACGTACACCGTATTCACTCGACTGCTAAAAGAAACACAGGAGAAACCACGACCCTGAACTTAATACAGCTCTCACGATCAGCAAAAGTACGGTGATCTTAATACAGCTCTCCCGGTCTCTCTCAAACCAGCAATGAATCAACTAGTGGTATCCGTTCATCGAACTCTATCACAGCTATAATTCTGGTGGGGGAGTACTGTAGTGTATCTACCACTTCGAATATACAATTCCATTTCACTAGTATGTAAGACATGTTAACTTGATTCTATGTTGGGGTACCTTTTCATAGATGAAGGTTGACATTGTCGATTCTACTCTCCCCACAATACAGTCTACGCTCTTTAGTATGACCTCCCATTGGTTCAACCCATAAATTACATTATGGTAAAATTGACCGTTACGTAAATAATAATGTCCTGTTTGCTATCCCACTGACCCCCTTTAGAACTTAACTGTTCATTCCAATAAAGAGATCGAAATTTTGTTTTCTTTTTTTTAATTCCCAGAAAAGTACTCCAAAAACATGAGATAAATATTTTTACACTTTCAAAATTGACATTTTAACATTGACATTAATTGTCATTAATAATATAATAAATGTCATCAATGTTTGAATGAATGTCAACTGACATTTATTCATTTAATAAACGCAGTACCATCGGGTAAATTGACATGATAATTGACAGATAACTTGACCTTTGTTACTTAAATTATTTCATCAAAGAAATAAATTATTTCATAATAGGCTTCACTATTAGTAACCTAGTATTTCTTTTATTACTGTATAATGTAATCCTAGTATTTACTAATTCATTGTGCAATTTATATAAATGTTTGTAATAAATAAGAGAAAATTATGTTTTTATTTATTTAGAAGCGACGGGTTAGTTTAAAAGGAGGACGGGCGCATTGTTGGACAAGCCGTCCTCGGGGACGGGTAAAATTTCTGAGTTTTTTCGAGCCCTGACTTAGAGTAGAAACAACAATTTTGGAATGAAGTGGTTATTCGAGAAGCAAAATATCAAAATCTAGAAAAAGCACGAAATTATTGACTTTGCCAATTGCACTCCGATGTCCCCATGGAGGCATCATCAACAGTTAATTAAACATTAAATTAAATTAAACATTAAATTAACATTAAATTAATTGTGCATTTTAAATGCTGTAGTGCCGATATTAGATCAAACAGCTTTTAAAAGTGCTCGGAGTGCAAAGGGTTAAGTAGGGTAAACCAACCAGTGAAGGAACACTACCCAGTGAAGGAACATTTCATATATATTCATTAAAAATAAGAATTTGAAAGTTTTTCTTTAGATTGATTGGTAACAATAGCTTACTGCCAAACAATAGGAAGTCATCTAGCAATATTTTGGATTACCTGGTCAAATAGATTTCTCTGAAAAAATTTTTGAATTTGTTATTATCTCTGCAACACCTTGTTTCGTTGAAAAAATTATAAGGTGAGTGTTTGTACTTATATGTTTGAAGTGGAATTAATTGCATGTAGTAGTCTTATTTTTCTCACTGTGAAAAAGAGAATTCAAAATATAGTTATTGAAGTTACGTTTTATNCTACAAAATTAATTAAATGTTAATGCACTTTTTTCTTTTTAATTTGTTTTCGATTGATAAATCATTTTTTGTTAACTAATTTGTTGCTGTGAATGTAATAGTTAAATCATAGTCATAAACAACGGAAATAATTTAAATAATTACAATTAGTTAATTACAATATAAATAATGCAACTAATTTTAAAATATTAGATCGGACGAAGTTTATGACTTTGCATTCAGAACATGCCCTTAAAACGTATGTAACTCTGTGGGGGAAATATTTTGAGCGTGTTAGGTGGGTCATCTTGACCATCATTTACTAGCAGGTGTTCCTTTGCAACACTCCTTACAATGCCCTTTGTTCATTTTGGGGGGAATAAGTTTGTGACGAACCGTATCTGTCATCGCTATGGCTATATTAAATTCTCCAAGTGAAGTTTTCTAGTATGAGCATAATTGTGTTACATAAAATAATTTATTCGAGAAAAACTCTTATTGTACACATTGCAATAATAAGGTTTTTCTCCAGTATGCACACTACTGTGCTCTGTTAAATAACCACTTTGAGAAGAACTTTTATTACATATATTACAAGAGAAAGGTTTACACCTGTATGAACAAGGTTATGAGCCGTTAAAGTATCTTTTCTGGCAAAACTCTTACTACATACACTGCAAACATAGTTTATGCCAGCATTAACGAGCTTATGTGAACTCAAACGGTTTTTTCGAGAAAAGCTCTTATTACAAATAGCGGAAGAATAAGGTTTCTCTGCAGTATGAATGAGGTAGTGTGCATTTAGATTACATTTAAGGAAGAAACCCTCAGAACAGACACTACAAGAAAAAGACATTTTCGCAGTATGCAGAAGATTGTGCCGCTTTAAATCACATTTCGTAGCGAAACTCTTTTTACATATATCACAAGAACAAGTTCTTACAAACCACTCTCACCTAACATTCTTACTTGCTTCTTCTGACAAAAACTTATCTGTGGTTTAACACAGATAAGTCACCACTTTAAAACTATCAAATTTTATATCTTAATAATTTGTAACCACGTTATTTTAAGAGTTTTAAAATTAAATTAAACATTAAATTAACATTAAATTAAATTAAATTAATTGTGCATTTTAAATGCTATAGTGCTGATATTAGATCAAACAGCTTTTAAAAGTGCTCGGAGTGCAAAGGGTTAAGTTTATGAGGAAATTAAAAGATGTCAGTTGAAAAAAATGTAAAGGTATTTTTTACCTCTAATGCAATATATTAAATATTGCATTTACTTTATCGACATTAAAAAAACTATGTATCAGTGAGTTTCATAACTCTAATTAAATGTAGCATGTTTTTGCTAAAATAAATCCAGTATTTATGAGATAGAATACTGCTAATATAATGCACTAATTTCATGTAGTCGCGTTATAAAGTACCTTTTCGTTTGGACCACATCATGAAACTTTTTCTCACTTTTTCAGCAGATATGATTCAGATTTGTGAATTGAGGTTGAAGAGAGGGCATGATGAGTACGACGAAATTTTTTTTGGAGTTGTTCGATTTAAAATGTCTTTTTTTTTTTATTTATGAAAGATACGTTATTTTTAAAATAATTATTTGAAAAAGGGACTGAAACTATTTCTTGCATTATGAAAGTTTTTCTCGCTATTTTAACAGATATGATTCTTATTCGCTAATTGAGGTAAAAGTAATGGGTCAGACCTTCATGGTCGAAACTTCGCCGGACAAAACTTCGCGAGGGCAAAACTCGCGCGAACATAACTTCAACTGGACACATTTTTAAGTAGAAAAATTCTGAAATTAATAATTAACATTAAATTAAATTATAAATGATTTATGCATTAATTCAAATAGGAAAAAAATTTATCTATTATATAATATTAATAAATTCAAATTCATAATTATATTAGAATGATCCCCATAAGTGACTAACATTAACCGTTATTTATGATTTGTTATTGAATTGGAACAATAATTATGATATATCTGTCTTTAATACGGTTAAAATATAAAATAAAGCAAAATTATTTATTGGATATTTCATCCTGTTCTTTTTCATCCTTTTTATTTTTCATTCTTCTTTTTTTTTGTTCACTTTTTACTAGCAAATTTGGCGTCTATATAAATATTACTCGACTTTTTATATGATAATCAAATGCCAAATTAAAATTTAATCAGTATTATTCTAATTATTGCAAATAGTTTTTGAATTAACTAGTTTTGATAACTATTAATGATTTTTTTCCATTTAAGATTGAATAATAAATCACACAGTCAAATACTAAACTACTCATTAAGTAAAATATATTAAAATCAAATTCAATAGCAATTAATTAATTAGAATTAAATGAACTTTAACCTTAAAAGGAATCTTAATTTCTTCTTCAAAGTTAATTTTTTTGAATTCCATGATTTATTAATTAAATTATTTTACTATTTTTCTCGTGTTTAATTTGCAAAAAATGAATTTTCACAGTCAAATAGTAATTAATTATCTGAGAATTTGAAATGAAAAGATTATCCCCAGGTCCTCTTCTCAGAAGTATTCAGAATGAATGTGAATTTACTAGTAAGTAAGTATTGTTTTAAAATGCAGGGATAGAGAAGGTAGATATGAAACGATTCGCTTGAGAGTTAGTAAGGTGTGGTTATTCAAGGAAGTGAACAATTCGTAATCGACATTGATGAATGGGCAACCTATGCATTTAAGAATGAACTGCTCTGAAATGTACGGGGGTTAGCCTTATGAGTGCAAGGTTCCTCAAAAAAAAGAAATATAGTTAAGTGTATTCAGACGAAAGTGAGTAGGTGTTTAAGACTGTAAGGATGGGAAGTTATGCTATAGGAAATGATAATGGTAAGTACTTATACCCATTCTATTAATAGTTGACTGAATTATAATAAAATACTAGCAAATAATTTTCAATGTGAAGCTTTATTTTTAGTAATAAAATTTAATGAATTGTATTGCGAAATAGATAATGATTTCCTCATTAACTTTAGGAAAAAGAACTTTTTTTTATGTATATATAAATCGGAAATGTTGTTTCTTTCACACATATATATATATATATAATCCATATTTTCTAGCTATTGAGACCAGGTTAAGAAAAAAGGTAAGAAACGAAAGCAAAAATTTTTTATTAAAAAGTATAATGCAGGTTACATAATTATTTTACAACAAATTTTAGTAAAATGAGTCATTATTTTATTGCAATTGGGAATGCAAATTCATGTTTTAATGGTTTGGGAATACACTGCAAATATGCATTTGTTGATTTATTCACACACGTATACAGCATTTTTTTATATCAACCATTGCTACTAGATTTTAAAAAAAATGTAAGAAATACAGTTAGTTTAACTGCATTGTAAGTAAATATATTGTAGTAATATTTTAATTTTTTAGTAAGAAGTAAACATAATTGCATTTAATCATTGAATATGTCATAAATCACATATGTCAGAGTCATAAGTGATATTTTAAAATATTACGCAATATGAGGTATATAAGTCCAATTTTATTAGAATTATGATATAAATAGTTTATAATTCTTAATTTGTGGATTTAATAACAGCGATTGCGACGAGTTTAGGAAAATAAAAACAGTTTTTTTTTTAAATCTAGTTTTAAACACTATTTTAAAAAATTTTCCTTAAAAAAAAAGAAAAAAGAATTATTTCTGCACAGATTGCTCACGTTTATCATTTGTTTTTATTAACTGCTATTTTAAAAAACATTTTTTCTTTTTGCAAAGCATGTTTATTTGGAAAATATAAGAATGTTTACTTAAAAGCTACGATGATTGCATATTTTACAGTCTTTCAATTTTTTTTAGAGAATTTTTAGAAAATATTTCTGTTTAGAGAACTAAATGCCTAATACAATTTCTTCAATCCTGAAACATCAGCCGTGTGCAGTTTTTTAATACAAACATTTTTATCTCTTGTTAAGCTTCCGATGCAGTTATTTTATACTTCTTGAGGAGAGAATTCAACATTTAAATTTAATATTTATAATCGAATGCCCCATCCTAAAAACTGGGATTAAATACCGGAATGAATTATAATTTGTGAAATAAATGTATAATTAAACTAATTAATTTACAAAAAAAATACGTATGTTTTGTTAGTGATATTTAGACCAGGTATTCATTAGAAATAAATTTCTTAAAATATCAGTACACTAGTACCTATATGTAATAAGAAAATGTGGTGTAACTACCACTAATAATATTGAATATCAATTCAGTAGTATATAACACTTGTTAACTTTATTCTATATTGAGATACTGTTTGATAGACGGAGGTTGACATAGTCGATCAAACCACAAAACTTTAACATTACATTAATTTCAACATCCTGAAAGCGATGTTGTTAGATGTACTAAAAATCCAGCTAGTTACAGAACCCCTTAATAGTTTTCTTTATTATCAATTCACAAAAAGGTATAGGTAATCTTTTCATATAATTTCATCAAATGAGTAAAATTCGAATAGTTAAACTAATGGCATAGTTAAACTAATGTTTAGGGCTGGCACCTGATCCCTATTGTTCTCTATGCATGAGCCAAGCTGTTTTGGATGGCAGCCACATCCTGTGCTGCAGGGCCCTCCGCGGGTCGTCGTCTACCGAGCGATATTGGGAAGCAAGAGCGCTCCTAAGGAAATGACTTTTTACTTTCTTGTTTTGTTCCTATGTTTTTGCTTTTTCATGTCAATTACCTCTGCCATTTGAAATAAATAAACTAATGGCATAAAAAATTTCTTCAGAACTTTTCTTAGTTAGAACTTAGAATAACTTTCCTAGACAGATTTGGTTTATTCCAGGGTTCGTGATAAGCAGTCGATGAGGTTGCAAAGATCTTACTTGCTTTTAATACATGAGATAAATACGGTTCTTGTTAACTTACTCGAGAGCTTGACAAATAGCCCTCGTAAGATCACCCATGACAACTAAACAGGTGGTCAACTTACTAGAGTGATTAATTTGATATATTTTACTGTACTGTACTATGTATGATAAAAAGTAAAAACAAAGCATCTTGAAACACAGTGTTTGTACAAATACATTTTTTTTAGATTCAGACTGTTCTACATGTTTTTCTTTAAAACTCTGACGGAGAAAAGCAAAATCATGTTAATTTTAAAATGTACATATATGCTTCTTATTTAAAGTCAACATATTAAAATCAAGTATTTTAAACATAACAGCCCTCATCGAGGTAAAAATGAAGATATAAACTTTGTTTTATTTACATTCTAATCATATTACATGTGGATCATTAGTTCATCATGTACTACGGATATGATGACGTACACCACTGAATTTTGTATTATTTGTACTCTATTCATACTTGCGTCGTCACCATTGTCTTTTATGAGCAATGGGATACCAGCAAGTGACGTAATGTGAGTGTCTTGATCCTGATTGGCTGTTCAAAAGTGGCATTTATGACTGGCAACTGTTCGTTACATTCTATTTCGAGAAAGCCTAGCCCGTCAAATATCAATTCTTTTAAGTGACACATTCTAAGTTCTTTCACTGTATAGTTACACAGAGACTTAACAAAAAGACAGGCACAAAGCTATGCGGAACATAAACAAACTAATTATGCAAAGAAGTTTGACAGGTACTCAAAACAAAAATATATCACGGTTAGAATAAAATACATAAACAAACAATAAATCTAAGTTAAGTAAAAAAAATAGACGAGAAAGAATTATATTTCAACTAATTCGATGTGCGATACAATTCTATATTTAATTAACTTAATGATAATTAACATTCTACCTTATGTATAGCGAAACTTAGCTCATCTTTAATACACCATTTTGTTGAGAAAAATTTGCTGAAGTTATAGGTCACATGTGTAGGTATGGGAAGTCTTCTTCCTCCTAAAGTGCAAGAACCCAATTGAAACACTGATAAACATTTGTAATTATTTATACAGGCAGAAGTTTAAAAATTACACCAAACCAATTAATATTGTACCAAATTAAAATAATTAGATTTTATATAGTGCAAAATAGAAGTATTATTACAATTTGATACACAAGACTTCTAACTATTGTAAAGATATATTTAATGATCACCCCGTTGCTGCCTGTTATGATAATGATAATGAATGTTCTGAAAAGGAATGGCCATTTGCTGCATTTATTTCATTTTTAGCACCAATTCTAACTTATGCTCATAGAGAAGTATGTATGATTGGATTTTGATCAAGCACACATTGATAAAATTTAAACTAAATGTATTTTTTAAAATTAATTTAAGAGGCTCCGATCTTCAATTCCCGTAGTTGTTTCTCCTTCATCATTGTTTTTCTTTTTTTTGGGGGGGGGGCTTAAAAGTCGATAAAAAGACCATTTGGTTCATAAACTATGTAATTATTATAATTTTATGCAAGCGCAGTTTATTAACATGTTAATTACAACGAAATGAGTAGATGGCTAGATTTAATAAAAAATAATCAACTGTACCTGTGAAAAAAATTATACTTTAAGAATACCGAACGATAAAAAGTAATAAATAAGAAGTAATTTTACTTGCTAAAAATATATAGCATGTGTACATAATAATATGTAACGATTACTCTAAATCACATAACAATTCAAGTAGGAAACTGTTTTTTGTGTCTGTTTTTGCAGAATAAAACAAAATGTAACTTATAGCAAAAAGAGCGAAAAATTAGAGAGAGAAAAAGACAATTGCAAAAACTTTCAATGAATTAGAATTTCGAAAATAAATAGATAAATTTTGCTCGTCAAATTTGTATTTTGCAGTTACATTCCCTTTTGTTTCAGAGTAACCAGCCTGGTATTTTTTACAAGTTTAGCAGTTCCTAAGGAATGTTCAATTGTTTTTTTTTCCATTGTACACCTTGTACATATTTTTTTCATACCACTGTAATTTCAAAATCTTAGTTTATTTCTCAAGATCTAGCTCTAGAGGTCATGAATACTTATCACATTCTTGATAATGGACTTAACTACCAAGATCTTTGAGTCAAAATTTAAAAGCGCGTCTGCTTTGTCCGATGTAGCCCATGTTGGACTAGCAACGCATTCCCTGTTTCACTCTTGGCTACCGCGATTTTTCTAATTTTGTATCTCACTTTTATTTTTCATTTTTTCTTAAGATATTTTGCTGTTTTTTTTCCAGGTTATTTTTGCTTTCCTTATTCACGTCTGGCGAATCTTGAGAATGGGGCCCTATTTTAGAGTGCATGAAATATTTGCTTCAAACCGAAAATGGTAATAAAAGTTTACAGTTTTCGAGTGCTTAAAAATAAGCGCCCATTCTCCAGGCTTGCCATACAGGAATGACTTCGTGACGTGAGCACTTAGTACCAAAGTATATTAAAGTAAAATACTGAACGCGGTATTAAAATAAGTTATACCTAAGAAAACGGTTATAGCTTTTAGATTGAAAAAAAAAAATAACAAAATTAGTCAAAACTATCTAAAAAATCAATGCAAAAGTTTTTAACTGCTTATCTTAAAAATCAATTTTTTTAAGGATGTCAAACAATTAGGTTTACAATTGAAATTTCACTAAGTTGAATGAGACAGTAACTCTCGAAATCAAAGTTAAGTAGGTCAGTTATTTCGAACAAATTAACGTCTCCGTTTTACATGAAATCTTTTGAAAATGTATGTTTTATTATCGGTCCAAACTAAAATCTCATTTAATACTTCACAGCATATTTCAATGGAGTTTATTTTTTGCACCCTTTATGATTTTCATTTTTTGCTTACAATTACTAAAGTTATGTGATTTAGTGCATAAAAAGTACGGGGATTTTAAAAGTTACGGAGCCTAATAGTACTTTATTTAAATATAGAAATAGT